CGTGTATTCCTTCACTCATTATAACATTGTCTAGTTTAAGATTAAATGGATCATAGGCACTGCATCACCTCATTAAAGCAAATACCACATCCCCATCTAAAAAGAAAAGGTAACAAATAAGGTATGTAAGAGAAGTCTATTATGGGTAACAGCAGGCAGCTCATTGCTTAATAAAAGACCCAGGGCAACCACCATATTAATGGCTTTCTTTTTCCCTTCTCTGATAGCAAGGCCAGGCTCCATTTTGCAGCGCAGTATGTAACACATTCAGAGATCATCTTGCAGGATGTTATAAAATGAAACGTCTTTCTCTGAAGGAAAAATGTGTACTTAGTTCCAGACAGGTTTACTTCAAATGGTTATTTTATACACTTGAGCACTTGGAGGACTGTGACAATAGAAGGAGGAGGTCAAACTCAGTTCTGGTGAGCACTCCTGAATTTCATGTATCTCTTTCCAGTTTCTTCAGTAACAATGAAATTATATCTCACTAGGGACAGGAAGCTTGGGTCAAAAGTTTTCCATTGCTTATTTTCTGTGATGGGCTGCTCCTGCTGTTCCAAGAGTTCAGCAGAACTTTTGCTAGCTTTTGGGTTGTGAGGGGGAAGAAGTCAATAGAAGCAGAGTTGGGTAGTTTTATCCAATATTGGGAGGGAACCCTCACAGAAAACGTTCAGATGCAATAAAGTCCTCTTTGTCTGGTGCAAACACCTGCTGCTGAACCATGAAATTCATGTTCTTTATCATACAAGTACACAATCAAATGTTTTGGCCATAAGTGCCAGCACTGATATCAGTCCAAAATCTTTATTAAGCCAACCAAAGGTGAACACTTGTTTTGAAGAAGTCTTCATTAATAGCCACCTCATATGGAGAACTGCAGCAACCTGTAGTACATACTTTACTAATTTACTATGCTTGAACAAGTAGAAGTACAGTCCACTCACAAGACTCTTGCTCCACTTTAAAGAATAACATATTTATTGCTGAACTAGATTTTGAAGAATAGAGCTCATTTCATGTGAGGCATACTACCTTTCCAGAAACTGTCAGCATGTTGTGATTATTGTATGAGTGTATTGTGTAAGTGTCATATAGCAACCAGTCTGCTGTAAGAATTGTGAAGCTTGCTGATGCTGACAAAAGTAAGTTCTTCTCACTGGTTTACAAAGCACATCCTCGATTAACTAAAAGATTTTAAAGCTCTTGAGAACCATAATATAGTGTCCTTGGGGAACATTCTTCACAGAATCATTTAATGGTTTCAGGGACGGAGAAGTTCCAGAAAGCCTTGAGAGTTACGGTATTCTATCTTCCCAAAGAAGCAAAAAGTATTCAAGCTGTTCATCCATAACACACTGTACAGCAGGATATTTGATCATTTAAATCTGTCTTTAAACAGCCTATCCGCCATATTATTTTACCCAGGCTTCGTGCTCTGGAGAGGACACTCATACAGAGCATGTTACCATAGTCTCTCGAGACTGAAGGATGCCTAATATATATTTAAAGTAGGTGTAAGCAACTATTTTTGCACAATGCATTTCCTTGCTGAAGAGTATACTGGAGCATTTACCTGTTCTGAGTGAATGTCTGAATATTAGCAAAAATGAGTAGGGGAAGTTCAAAAGGTGATTTATGGACACCATAAATGTTGCTGACCTTGTTTCTGGGTGTTGCATTTCATGGTGCAACTTTACTGCTTTGTTCATGACCCATCATTGGAGGTTCACAACAAAACCTGCAAGTAATTAGTTAAAAATAATTGGTGTTTAGAATTTTGTGGGGTTTTTTTTGACCACTCCTGGAATTCTAGTCTAAAGAAGTAAATTTTCCAACATATGCAAACAATTAGTTATATGTGATTAATCCTATTTTCCAACGTATATATAACTATATGGCAACTGTAGCTGTAACTCAATGAGAGATAACTTCACTCCTTTTGCAGTGTAACTGCTACTTCTAATTTATTTTGTCGTTTCTGGCCTATGGTCTCACTAAATGTTGGACGAATATAAGTGCTAGACTACGTCTTTCTTGTGTGCTGAAGTGATGATGGGTATGAGCAGGGTCGTTTTATACCACTGGCCTCCAAAGTGTAGTTGTCATATTTCTTTAAAGTAACTTTCAGAGAAAGTGTACTAATTTTAAAAAATGTCTCTTTAAAGTGAGAACTAAGTACTTTTCAGGGGTCTTGGAACTATGGCCTGAATCCTTTGCAACTCTCACTGAATCAGTAGGATTTGCCGAAGTGTTGATTTACTATTCAGCAATTCAGTTGTATTCTACTTTAAATGGGACTAGCAATTGAATTTCAGGCTTAAACTGTAACTAGTTACTTTTTGAAAGTTACTATCCAAGCTTTGGTCCATACACCCTTGTCCGTTTGTACTTTTTCTTCTCATCACTTTTTTTCTAGAGAAAGAAAATAGCTGTATAACTTTTCCAATAAGAGACCTCTGTTTGGAAACACTACTGGGTATGTGTGTATACAACTGACATTCATCGTCAGTAGCCAATAATCCAGAGAATAGCATTTCAGATTCAAAACTCTGCACAAGAACAGTCAGCAGGAACCACTAAATGCAAAAATACCCTGCACAAACTGTAGTTAACACCAGCTAATGACAAATCTCTTAGCTTTAATAGTCCATGTGGCTTTGCATCATTAATAAACTATTTAGTGATATGATTAATTTTTGAGATCTTATTTTTAAATATTAGTGCCACTGGTAAGAACTTCTTTATTAAAATAGTTTCCTTTCACCAAGCATTGCTTGGAAAAGAACTAGTACATTTGAAGGAGCAGATCTTGTTTGATTTTATTTCATCTTAAAGATTGTGTCTGAAGAGTGAATTCTGAGAATGGGATGATTAGACACTATTAGAAATTTGTATACTTACACACACACACACACACACACACACACACACACACACACACACACACACACACACACACACACACACACACACAAAGGGGGGGGCATTGGAAGCACAAGAAAGTCCATTTCTTAAACATTATAATTACGCATGTGACTGGAATGAAATGCAGAATGAGTTTTTAATGTTAATTCCCAGTATATTTGGAGCCCCAGGGGGTAAGCAAAAAATAGCATTCCACTGAAATACTGGTTTAAATAGGGCAATTGAACTTTCAGGGTTCTTTCTTCTCAATGCAACAACACTGAGATAGTTGACAAGCACTTGTACATTTATAATCATAGAACAGTGAAGTTGGAAGGGACCTATAAAGGCATCAAGTCCATCCCCTTGCTCAATGCAGGAATCCAAATCAAATTGGGCATATAATTTTTCTCTTGAATGCCTTCAGAGTTGGATCACTCACCACCTTCTGAGGTAATTGGTTCCATTGTCACATTGCTCTAACAATTAAGATGTTTTTCTGATATTCAACCAAAATCTGGCTTTTGTAACTTGAGCCCATTGTTACGTATGTTTCACACTATGGAATGCTCCAGAATTCTGGCATTGATGTTAGGCTGATATCAGTTTGTAATTTCCGGGTTCCTCCTTTTTAAAGACAGGAACAACATCAGTTCTCCTCCAATCATCTGACACTTCATCCATCCATGATTTCAAGCAAACGATAGACAGTGGTTATGAGTTACTCAGACAATTCCTTCAATACCCTTGAATCCAGTTCATTGGGCCTTGGAGATTTGAGCTCTTCCAAAGTAATAAGTAATACTAATTTTGTATACTAACATTTTGTCAATAGTTGAAATAGATAAAGATCTCTAATGGTTGATAAACATTAGCTTGGCTCAGTAGACACCTATCATTTCACCAGTGAAAGCATCTCCCACAGATTCTCTACCACAGCTTGCCAAAGAACAGCATTGCAGGCACTTAGTTTCTGTACGAATATAGTCATGGCCAAAAATATTGGCACCCTGGCAATTCTGTCAGAAAATGCAACCCTTCTCTCAGAAAATGGTTGCAGTTGCAAATGTTTTGGTACTCACATGTTCATTTCTTTGGTTTGCATTGGAACAACACACACACACACACACACAAAGAAAAGTCAAATCTGATACAATCCCACACAGAAACCCAAAAATGTGCTAGCCAAAATTATTGACACCGTGTGTAAATTGTGAGAAATAATTGCTTTTCAAGCATGTGATGCTCCTATAATTTGTATTTAGACACACTTGTCGCAAGTAAGAGGTGTGGGCAATATAGTAAACATATTTGCAACCAGTTGTCTCAGCCTGCTGAACAAGTGCCTCTTCAAATTGGAAGAGGCCATGCTGCACCGCCTGCCTGCAGGCTGAACACTCAGATGTCATAGTTTCCTATCTGGTGTGGTCCATTCCTAAGGCCTTCAGATCCTGCTTGCAGATATCCTTGCATTGCAGCTGTGGTCTCCCTCTGGGGTGCTTTCCCTGCACTAATTCTCCATACAGGATATATTTTGCAATCCCACGGTCAGCCATTCTCATAACAGAACCCAGATTAACTTCCAAAAGATAAAAATGATATTAAATTAGAAGATTAGTATAATGAAGTATGGGACATTGCATTAAATGATAAATTAACTATTGAACTTAAGATGAAAAGAGGAGAAATAAGTTCAAATATTTTTATGCTATTTGGGGTAGATTTGTTGAATTTGCATTAGTGAAAGGAAAGGGAAAAGCCTCTAAACAACAATACAATTTTGGAAAGGAAGGTCATATTAAAGGTATTGTTCTAAGGGGTCCCGTGGGTATGGGGTGCGTGGTAGTTTAGATTGTATAGTGAGTATTTTGTACTTTTGTATTTGTTCTGAAAAATAATAACAATATTTTGTTTAAAAAATAGACTATTTAAGACCATGAGGACGTCTGTGCAGTTCCAGAAAAAACCCTTAGTGTGAATCACAGAGACCACGAAGAAGAACCTCAATTCAACAGCAATTGTAATTCTAAAGGAAAAGGCTTAATAAATTCACAAAGTCAAAAAATAAATGAGTTTATTTTTTATGAGTTTATTTTTTACAATTTTATTTTTAACTGTATTAGGGGAAAGAGTAACTTTATTTCATTTAAAACTAATGGAAGAAAAACAGTCTTATAACAAACAAATCTGTAAATTTCTTATACTCAAGATTCCTGCCAGTGGTCTGAACATGGTCTCTGCCTCTTACAAATGGCTGGAGTCCATTCATCCATGGGGGACTTACAATTCAGTGGAAAAATCCAACCAGTCTAGGAGGTGAGTTTGTTCACCTCCACCAACCTCTGCAGCATACTTTGTTCTCCAAAATCTTTGGATGATACTAAACCTTTCAGAGCAGTAGGGGAGTGTCATTAAGGGCTGCATGAAGAAACTCACATAAACCCTTCTACTACTGGGAGCTCTCTGAGATGAGCTAATGCCACCAACAAAATCAAACTATGAATTCAGAGTTCCAAAATACTGAACTATCATAGATTGCAGAGCTCATGTGTTCTACACATCCATTTGCAGCTACCTTCATATCCAGTACGATGCTATGAATGCTTACTCAGATATAAAACCCACTGCATTCAGTGGACCCTACTCATATGTATGAAATCTGCAAAGACTTACAGTAAAATACATCTAAAGTTGAACCATGCAGCCATCATTATTTTTCAGTTGCCATCTCCCTGCAAATATTTACGGCAAGCAAAGCAATTCACCCCTAAGCTGTTTACAGAACAGTCCTCACTGAAGGGTGTAAGTCTGTGTCACATTTTTAATTGTGAGTGTTATGATAAGGGAGCGTGGATCTTTTCTGTTTTTGTGAATTCTTATCTTTCCTTTCAGCTCTTCACCTGCATAAAAAAAAACAGGAATTTCATTAAATCATCATGCAAATAACTGCATATAGTACAGCTATGTTTGCATTCACAATTCACTTTTTTACTAAATCAGTTTGCTACGACATGCTAAGAAAGTGCATCACAATACAGGTCCTCATTTGGGGAGCACTGCTCAATATATGTCATCCTTTTAAAAGGCAGAAAGTCCCCTAACCTTACCCCATCTCTAACAACTCTAGGCAATGCACTCTACTTCTGGTTATCAGACTGAAATCCAGTCCATTTTCCAAAGGAAAAGACAGATCATTTTGCATGTACTGATACTGAGTCATAAACCTGGCTGACTCCTGACTCTATTGTACATGGGCTATAATGTGGGTCTAGCAAACTGTAGCCCTCCAGATGTTGCTAGACTTCAGTTCCCCATAAGCTCCAGCCAGCACAGCCAATGTTGAAAAATACTGGGAGTTGCAGTCTTAAAATATGGAAAGTTGTCCTTGGCACACCTCTACTATAGGACATCCACTTGATGCAACATGGTTGCTTTGTTCCTACACCAATGTCTATAAACCATAGTAGATATTTACTTGATAGCTTTCTGAAATGTAAATGCCACCTTTATTTCTTTATAATGTTTTCTACACTGCGCAGTAGACCATGAACAATGTATTCTCGAAGGCTTTCATGGCTGGGATCTGATGGTTGTTGTAGGTTTTTCGGGCTGTGTCCAGAACACGACCAAACAGCCCGAAAAAAATACAACCATCAGACTATGAACATTTGGACTAGAACTTTTATGATGTGGCTAAGGGCCAATTCTGAAAGCCTGTTAGTATTAAACAAGGAATGAAATGTATTTGTTTTACATTACAAGATCAAGTTTTACTATTCCAGATAAAGATGGATCAGTCCTTTGTTAGTTATTTCAGAAGTTTTGGCCTTGCACCAACTATATCCATCATTTCTGGATGTTTCCGCTAAATTCTTCTG